TAATTATGCTCACAAAAAGCTTTCAGATTTGAAACAAGTATTAGTCAAACCTGAAATATAAGCAGTCTAGACACTGTCCATGTCACAGGTCAAATCAAAGGAAATTAATCTTTTCCAGAGCATAATTTTTTTTTATAGTTATTGCAAGTCTTGCATGAACAATCTTTATCATAAAGGTATTTTTACAAATTTAATCAAAAGGGCCCCACTCTAAAGCCAAAAGAACTGACATGGTTCACTTTTGATATACAGATGGAAATTAATTAATTTTCATCAGGCTCTGTGAATATTTTGTTTTGTAGCATTACTGTGAAATGGTTTTGAGTCAAAAATAGAAAACAGGAAATGATGAATGAGGGAAGCATTTTCCATGGGCGCTTCTGGAAAAAAATCAATTCCACCAGCTGTATTTGCCATTTTTTATGCCAAATATAGCATGAGAATAGAACACAGCCTGTTTTTCTTAAAAAGCCTTTTTTTTTTCCTTTTGGAAGAATTGATGGCTCCTTCCTCCTGTTTGTTTTGATCTTTTTATTAAGACCTTTTTTCCAAAATGCACTGCTGTAGTAACACCTGATGAAGGTCCCTGCTCAGTTGGAAAGTATTGCAGCAGTAGATTTTTTTCCTCTCTTCATGCTTAAAACAGAAAGGACGGGTTCTTCATGTCATATAGTAACACCAATGTATGTAGTTAGCAGAGCGCCTCTTGGCATATTGCTGATTCCTGGAGTCACAATGATGCACATCACAACAGGAAACAGCAGAAGAACATTATTTCAAATAAATAAATGCCTACTAATTTGTCACAGCACTAAATCATTACAGAAGCTAAATAAAATTTTTCCTTTACTCTTTGTCACACAGCACAAATAGATTATTGACTTATATAAGTAAGTCCTGTTTATACAAAATAATGATGTCCTCATACCTGTACAAATAAAATAAACTGTAAGAGGCCAGAAACTTGTTCTTCCACAGTAGACGTGCTTTCTTTTCTGTCATACAAGATCTTACCACTCTACAATGGTTTATTTTAGTCAAAAACATTTCTTACCTAAAAAAATGGAGATTTTATCTTCTTTCACAGTGAGAGTACAGAGAATACTAACTTCTCTCTCATCTTACCACTCAGGCAATTTCCACAGATTACAGGAAATGAAAGTTTGCCCTGCATGTGGCAATGTGACTCTTCAAAATAGCAGTTTCACCCTTAACACTCCCCAAGGAGGTCCTATACCTAGTTTTCACTTTCAAGAGATATTTTGAAAATATGAAAGGGGCTGGAGGTGCAAAGAAGGGGTTAACACAGGTAATACCTTGAGTCAAGTTCACCAAGATTTCAAAGTGCTAAGGCAAAGATCTTCCAGAGTTGTAGACACATGAAAGAGCTGCTGATTACAATTGCCTCTCCAAAATAGAGGCCTTCTCATCAGATTGTTTGAGTGAGTTCCTATAAGTCTACCATTTTTGCAACTGTTTTAACTGATGTAGAGTTTCTGGCTCCTTTTGTAATATTAAAAATGTTATTATCAGCTAATGCATGTGTCCATTTTCTTTCAATGGATGTACTATTCTGAAATCTTGACATCCTAATTTCAAAGACATTTATCAGCACAAATAAACAGAAGTGTATTTTAGAATTTATTGAAAAAAATCACCTGCTCTTGCAGAAACATGCCATAAAATCAGCACTTGTGAACAAACGTTAGTTTGTTGACTAAACCCCCGAAAGGAGGTCAACACTAGCCAGCTGAAACTGAAAAGCAATTCTCCAGCAGTTTCTCTTCTCTTAGAGCAATTCCTCCCTCATGAAGGGAGGAAAAAAAAAGATCTGCAATTTTTATCATTCTGTCTCATCAGTGTATAAAATTGTTTTCTATAACCAAAAAAAAAAAAAGGAAAAATGCAAAAATCAACCTTCAACCCAGTAAACTTGGGGGTTTAAATGCTTCATATTTTAGCATCCTTTTAAAACTTAGATTTTGCAATATTATCAGGATTTAATATATTTGATAGCTTACATACCTATGAAAGACTGTTTTATTCAAGTCAGAAACAATAGCATTTGCCCAGAAATTAATCACTGTTAAAAAATAATGGGGTTTTTGTCTGGTTTATTTGAGGTTGTTTGGTTTGGGTTTTTTTTAGGTTCACAGATTTTTATTGCTCTTCTGCACTGCTCAACTGGGTAAGTCAAACTAAGGTAGTATGGAAATACTTGAAAATTAAATGATGAAGTATAGAAAGCAAAATTACTGAATACAGGTTGCCCTCCAGAAAAAAAGTTAGGAATAGTCAGACAGCAAATGAAAACTTTTCCCTTAATTTTTCATTTTTTAATCACATGTACTAATCCTAATCTATCACACTTCGCAAGCTCTTTATTAAGTAAAGCAAACTTTTAACATAAAGCCTTGTATTAAAACCCCCAAGTTAACCCATCTAATAACTAATATCTATCTACAGACTAAAGGGGAAGCAAGGAGATACGTGATTTTTTAAAAGAAGTAACAATTTAATGTGGCTTTTATTGGGCAATGCATTTTTGATCTTAAATGAAAGAAGAATCTTAGTTGAGAAATCAAAGCCAAACATGCACTTCATGCAGGATGCAAGAGTGTGCAAACATTACTCCATTCTGTAACTGAAACCCAGAGAGAGAGAATGACCATGCTACAGTGAAAGATATGGCTGAAATTTCTGAAGAAAAATGAGAGTTTTTTCTTATACATTTTAAGTATCAAAAGCAGTTGAATGCAAAAGGTCACATCAGTAGTCTGATGGTCTTGCCAGATTTCTGGACAGGTTGTAGGGTCTCCATGCAACAGCAGCTACACTGATATTGCTAATTAAGCTGCTCAACCTAAAGCTAGCCAATATTTGATTTTTTCCCCTGGAGAGGTGAGAAGGATTTCTCCCACATTCTTTCTAACTAGGTATCACCTAGGCTATTACTAAAAGGAAAGAAGAAAAATGGCAGGTGCTAAATCCAAGTTACAAATAAAATAAGGACATTTACATATTTAAAAAAGGTTATTTCATAATACGGAAACCTACTTGTTTAGCTGTTTTCTCTTTTCATTTGTGGATCAGAGATGGAAAGGGGAAAATCAAGGTCAAGTCACTTGTTTAAGAGACTGGAAAGAGTGAGGGAAGCTAGTTGCATGTTAGGAAGACAGTTGTTCATGTTTCAAAACATTCTGCTCAAGTATTTTTCCTCAAAAACCTTCCCAAGCAGATGTTTGAGAACAATGTGGTGCTTGCACAAAGAACTCAATTATGGTAGCAAGCTTGACAAGAAATTGCAGAAGGTGGGTTTAGGATGCTTCGCAGCCACGTGGTGCCTCAACAGAATTTGCATCTCAGACAGGAATCAAACGAGCCTCATGCTGAGTATGGAACTGCCCTGGTTAAACTTTTTGGAATAGTGGCAGCTAGGCCATCAGGAGGTCTATGAAACATAAAATCATCTGCTTTTGAATAATCTGGAGGAGGCTTGTACACTCCAAAAACCCATTAAGACCACTTGGGAAAATGTTACTGACCTTCTTCTTTAAAGTAAACCAGGAGAAAAAGGATTCACCCGAGAAAGGGCGCTCAACAAGGTTCCCTGATTCACTTTTGCAAGCTGCCTTAACAGTAGTTTCACCTACTAGTAAAAAACCAAAACAACAAAACCCCATCCTACCTTCTATTTCAGCTTACCTAACACCAGCTGGAGTCTATGAAATATTTCTTGCCATGCTGGCTTCTCCTTTTGTGCCAAGTTCCTGATCTTTTACCTTCTCTCTGAGAAGCTAACCAGACTCAGTCTCTTCTCTACACCCCTTTTTACCATCTCTCCGTTGTTCTCATGGCTCTTCTCTTCAACCAAGCATTGGGTTTAAGTAGCAAGGTCTTGTAAAGGGGGACAGGGCAGAATGGCAGGGGTGGCTTCTGCGAGAAGACACCAGAAGAGAGCCACTGGTCTCTACCCTCCAGGGACCTAGCACTGTTCAGCAAATGCAGTGCATGTGGCTGGCTCCTGCTTTTCTCTCATGACTGCCCTGCAGTCCAGCAGGTGAGCAAGGCTCCACCACAGAGCTGTAGCAGGCAGTCTGATGAGGCTGGTACTGGATTTACCAAAGGCATTGAGATTGGCATGTGGAGCTGAGAGCAGGATCATCCTTCCCTGTGCACAGCTTCTAATTGTACATCCTTGGCTAAGCATCCCAGATTCCACAACTGCCCTTGTCAGTGTGGGCCCAGAACAGCAATAGAACTCATAGAGGGCAAGGACGTGGAGCCTGCCAGAGGGTGCTGCAGTGACTGACGTGGCCAGCATGGACCGTGCTGCACCTGTTTCTCTGTGCTTTGTGCAGGAAGGTTGACACTGCTTGGCTTACTGGGTATGCTTGCACTTCATTGCTTGCCCAGCATAGCCACAACAAGATTGGCTCCTCAGCACCCAAACACATGCATACTGCCTGCAGTAGTAATGTTCTTTGGTGTATGTTTTTTGGGAAGGACTTGGTGGCAAAGTGATCCAGAGAGCAGGGTGTCAGTGAACTTCCCAAAGAGGCTATGATGGCACACGGGGTGTTTTCCCACAAGCTGTTACAGCACATGCTGCTGCCTGCCTTGGGGCTGCATACCCGCATCCTGACAGCAGAGCATTCACTGGGAATCTCTCCAATCCTACCTTCTGTCTCCCTTTTGCTTGGAAGTCCCATGGGTGGTGAGGCACTGGCACAGACGGTCCAGAGAAGCTGTGGCTGCCCCATCCCTGAAAGTGTTCAAGGCCAGGTTGGATGGTCTTGGATGGCATCCTGCTCTAGTGGAAGATGTTCCTGCCTGTGGCAAGGAGGTTAGAACTAGACAATCTTTACAGGTCCTTCCAAGCCAAACCAGTCTATGATTCTATGACTCTATTCCCCCTCCTCCTACCCAGTCCCTCGAGGCCTCTGTGCCTAGAACACCAAATCAGCCACTCTGTGACATCAGCCCTAGGGCCTGCAGGCACTATGCTGGTGGCTGCACTGGAGGCAATGAGCCCTCGTTCCTTGCAGCTGAGGCGCGCCACTGGCAGCAATGAATTTGCTGTGCCTCCTTGTCCTGCTGGCTATGTGCAAGCCCATGCTTGGCACATGGGACACCTGCAGGTAAGGGGCCTCAGGCTCTGGGAGGGGAGCTTGGGCAACCCTTACTGGGTTTTTCCTGTCCCCTGTAGCCATATCACAGCTTTCTGAACCTCATGTGGGAGCTTCAGTTCCTTGACAGCGCCCAGATTGCTGGCACAACTTGTCTGCAGGACTCAAACAGAAATGGGCAGATAGACACGTGCCCTGCTGGCCATGCAAACAATGCCATGTGGGGAGGAAAGTCAGATGACCTTCAGCCTGAGCAGCAGCAAGGAATTGAGCACAACAGCAATGACTTTCTTCTTACAGAGGGACCTGCGGGCTCTGGCCCATGGCTGCTTCCTACGGCCCCATGACTTATGACTATGGCCCCACGGCTTCTGATGACAGCACACTGAGTGTCGGGGGTGGCACAGGTGTCCAGCCAGGGGCCTGGCCTGGCATTGTCAGCATCCAGGATGCCCAGAAACCAGGCACAGGGCATATCTGTGCAGGGTCCCTCATCAGCACACAGTGGGTCCTCACAGCCGCCCACTGCTTCATCAACACCAAGTAAGGAGGACCAGGGAACAGGGATATCCCCACAAAACTAGCAGGTACCCAGTTGGCAGCACTACATGCTACTCCTATCCCATTTCCTTGCAGTATACCCAGTGTCTGGGCATTGTAGAGCCCAGCTGAGACACTGCTCAGGGAGAAGGCTGCACTCCTGCTACTGCTTCCTAGCAGCCTCCAGCTCAACACTGCCAGAGCCTATGGCATGCTAGAGCAGTCACACCCTCTGTAGCACTGCTTTGCTCTCCTGTCTTGGGAAGCAGAAGGCAGGGAACTGCTGGGCTGTTGCAGCACGTGGCTATGCTCTCTCTCATCCCTTTCTCCATCTGCCTCCCAGGAACATCAGCATGTGGCGTGTGGTGATCGGGGCCACCCGGTTGACTCAGCTGGGCCCTGAGGTGAAATTGCGCCAGATTAAACAGCTACAGGTTCATGAACACTATACTCCTGGTGAGGAGAGGAATGATATTGCCTTGCTGGAATTGGACCAGCCAGTCCCATGCAGCCACTACATACAGCTGGGCTGTGTGCCTGACGCCACACTGAGAGTGTCAGAGCTGAAAACGTGCTACATTGCTGGCTGGGGTTCCACCACTGCAAGAGGTGGGTTCCCAAAAATGACATGTGCCCTGAGGGCAAGCTTGGAACACCAGGGAGATGGGTTTCGGTTCCCAGCTACAGAGGCCAAAGCCAGAATCAGGCTGCAGGATGTATGCCTCTGGAGAGATGGTCCAGAGAGATGGCCCACTCTCCCAAGCCAGACAGAAGGGGGACAGCATGACAACATGGTGTCCCCCTTAGGGAACCCTAGGGAAGCCCTAGGGAAGGGCTTCACCCCCAGATAAGGAAGTGAAGGGAACTGGGTGCTGCTGGGTGCTCATTCCTGTCTGTGCTCATAGATCAAAGACCAAGTGATGTCCTGCAGGAGTCCAAGGTCCACCTCATCGATGTCCAGCTCTGTAACAGCAGCTGGTGGTACACGGGGGCCATCCATACCCACAACTTGTGTGCTGGTTACCCACAGGGCACCATGGACACCTGCCAGGTAGGAGCCACTCAGCCCCCAGCAGCATGGACAGCCCCATCACCACTGCTCAGACACAGCCCAGCATCTGCTTTGCCTGGCCAGTCACTGCCCCAGCCCCAGGTCCCCACCGCTGATAGGGCTTCCCTCCCCTTCCCCATCTGCAGGCCCTTGCCCAGTGCCCCAAGGCTGGTACTCTGCCCAGAAAGCCCGTCTAGTGCTCTTGGCAGCCCAGACATCCAGATGCTAACCCTGGAATGTCCATCCTCTGTAAATCCAGGATCCCTGTGCAGAGATGAGAGAGAGCCCACAACCTGCTCCCAGCCAAAGTTCTATAGGCTCCAGCACCTGAGCAGAGCCTTTCTCTGCCAGGAATACAGCTCTGGCAGGGGCTATGAGAGAGAAGGAGACAGCCCTAGTGCTGCCAGCAGCCACCTGACACCAACTTAACTGTCTCTGCTCCACTGCAGGGTGACAGCGGTGGTCCCCTGGTGTGCAAAGATGACGATGCTGCCTACTTCTGGCTCATTGGCTTGGCCAGCTGGGGAAAAGGCTGTGCAAGAGCAAACCAGCCTGGAGTCTACACCTCCACTCAGTATTTCTACGACTGGATCCTGGCCCAGATAGACCCGCAATCAGATAAAAGGGCATGGAGTCATTTTGTGACTGCCTCAAACCCCTCTCAGAAGCCAACACCAATACCAACACCAATACCAACACCAATACCAACACCAACACCATCGGGCTGGTTTAGCTCCTTCCCACTCCCACTGCAGCAGGTGATGGAATTTTTTACTCAGCTGCACGAGTTCCTACAGGCCCTAAGGAGAAAACTGGCTAGAGAAGCAGGATGAACAGGATCCAGTGCAGGCTGCAGTGGACCATGACCATTTCCTTCTGGGGCAGTGCCTGCTGATCCAAAGGCAGCTTCAGTGCCAAAGGCCTGCTCTGTCCTGCCCATGCTCCTCCTCTGCATGCATGCAAATCCTGAAGTTAACTTAGCTGTGGAAATAAAGTTTCCTAGTTTCACAGTTAACCATGTTTTCAGCCCTATTCAGTATCCCATGCAAGGCAAGGACTTTCACAGAGGGTACTTGCAAAATGAGGCTGTGGCAGACACATCAGGCACACACAATGGGAAGGAATCACTCCAAAGGATTGAAACTGTGCTTGGTCAGAGAGGAAGGCAAGGGTGCAGTGGAAGAAGGGAACACAGGTCACAGAGCAGTGGGGGGCTTACATATCTTGGGAACAGCAGTTGGAAGTGTAAAGTGTTTTAGGCTGCCTACCAGTGGGATCCCTCTGTTTGAGTCTGTACAGTGCAGCAGGGAACTTGAAACTGGACTCTATCATGACCCAGAAGACATGATTCTAGAAAGACCCAAGCTTTGCACCAAGGACTGGGTACGGAGCTTGATCCCCAGCCACAAATAGTACAGGGATGTATTTAAATTAATTTCTATACTGTTATTTGAGGAATCTGTAAACAGTGCTTATGAATCTCGGGATCGAAGGTGTGTTTACGTTTCACTAGAAAACATCCAATCTGGATCACCTGGAAAAACAGAAAAGGACTGGACTGTGTTCATGTTCATGTTCATATGGTGGTTATGGATACCTGGGTGCTAGTAAAGCCATTGCTCTGTTGATGTCAACCTGGTTTGTAGCAACTGTGTAAATCTCTGTGTGTGTGTTGGTGTGTGTTGGCTCCTTGGAATGCACACATGCATCGACACACAGAGATGGTAAAAGAAGCAGTCACATCCATCAGGCTGGATGAGTGTGAGTGTCCACCTGATTCAGCTCTACCAGACCCAAATGTGGAAATCTCCTGTATCCAAAGTCTACTGATCTGGTTGATCTGCAAGAGAATGGGGAAGGCAGTCCAAAGCAACTCAGCAGCAGAGGTCATGGTGCAGACAGGGAGGCAGCACTGGCTAGGCTGTGAAAGCACTGGGGAGGGTAGTTTGATGCCTCCTCCTCCAGCTTCAAATTGCACATCTTTGGACTTATGTGCAGAGCAAACTTGATACAAAATTTTTGGTGCACCTCATGGATTTTGTATCAAGTTTGCTCTGTATATAAGCAAAAACGTTGGGGATATTTGGTTTGGTTTGGTTTGATTTGATTTAGGCAGTTCATTTTAAGGTTATTTTCTTTTTTTTTTCCTTTTATCTGGTACATCAATTCTCTCCCTCTTAGAGAAAACCAATGCAAACAACTCCATTGTTTACTCATGTTCTTTCATGTCTTTTCAGTTCTCTCTTTTTTAACTCTTGTCTAATTTAATTGTGCTCAAAGACAGAATAGGAAACCCCTTTCAGCACTGGGGAAACATGGGCTAAAATGAAATAGCTCTCATTCATTCATGATGATGTGCTGGTTTTGGCAGGGTAGAGTTAATTCTCTCCACAGTGGCTGGTAGGGGGACTGTGTTTTGGATTTGTGCTGAACACGGGCAATATAGAGATGGTTTTGTTATTGCTGAGCACTGCTTACACAGAGCCAAGGCCTTTTCTGCTTTTCATACTGCCATGGTGGTGAGGAGGCTGAGGGTGCACGGGAGGTTGGGAGGAGACACAGTTGGGACAGGTAACCCAAACTGACTAAAGGGATATTCCAGACCCTATGACATCATGCTCAGTGTATAAGGGGAGGGAAAGAAGGAAGAGGATGGTGTGTGCATGCAGAGTGATGGCTAATAGCTACCCATCTTAGAGTTCTCAGCTGTGAACCTATGGCATTGCAGAGCAAAATGAGAGAGTTGGAAGTCAGGACTTTCCAGGATGGAGAGTTGATGGCACAAGAAATAACTACTACTCAGCAGAGGGGTGCTATGAGCCGTAATGCACTGTAGAATGGCTGGAGGCATGTATTGCTAACAAATGAAGGCATAAATATGGGAAAAGAAAGGTTCCTGCTCTCACTATGAAATCTTCATAGGATCACAAGGAATGGGATGGAAATATCTGGAGTGAGTCTTCGGACTCTGAGTTTGAGACAGATTTAACAGATTTGGAAGTGGTACAAGTGCAACTCCTCATACAGGTGGAGAGGCAGTGGAATGTGTCAGATGGAGGGGTACAGATCACATACACTTATAGCCCAAAAGAGTTAAGGGAATTTTCAGAGCTCTATCGGCAAAGGAGTGGGGAAAGAATGCTGGTATGGATTTTGAGAGCTTGGGATGATGGTGCTGCACCCATCCACTTCTTAATGGGTGAAAAAGATCTATTATGCCCTATAGCCAGTGATGATCAGATACAACAGATGCTCAGTTATGAAATATCAGGGGTCCTGGTGGGCAGGATATTGCTGTGCCTCCTGCGTACCAATGGCTGTGTGCAGCAATTTTAACAGCATATGCAGATACTGCCAAACTACTGTCATCCCTCAGAAATTGGTGTACAATGAAAGAAGGTATTAGTTTACTGCGTCAGATGGGGTTGGCTCATGTGTTGATTACAGGATCTAGTCTGGATGGAGCAACAGTAATGACAAGTATAAAAATGCATCTTTTGAGAAGGGCAAGACCTGTTTCACTTAAACACTTGATTGTACCAGAAGTCATGAGTGCTACTGGTAGGCATAGGTGCCCTAGCAAATACCTTGAGAAACATGGGGGGTGTAGTTTTGGAACCAGCTGTGCAGGTGATGGATGAAAATAAGCTTGCAAAACCAGAAAAGAGCTACCTTAGGGGTGACAGGGAAACAAACTGGTGTCCCACAATCAGAAATAGAGGGAATTGCAACATTAGAAATATTTCACCATCACCAAGTTAGTACCTATATAAAGAAATTATTCCCCTTCCACCCCACTGCCACCTTACCTCAAGGCACTGCCTGGCAAATGCCAAAACAGGAGAAATGACAGTTTTGCTGCCACTGTAGTCTCTTAATGTAAGGGGAACTGATGCCTCTATGTTGCTTTAACTATAAAGTGGCAATCGGGGGGAACTTTACTGTCTTAGCTCTGGTGGATACAGGGGCTGAAATTACTGTATTGCATAGTGATATAACTAATAAAGAAGCTACATCATAGATCTGTGGCTTGGGGGGAAATCCCACCCCCACCCTCCAAGCCAAGGTTACTTTAACACAGGAAATACTGCCCCATTTGTCATGACAGTGCTAATTCCCCCATTAAAGAATCTATTTTGAGCATTGATATTCTGGCAGGATGAACTGTTGAAATGCTAAATGGTTGGAGTTTTTTGGGGACTCTGTAAGCAGAATTTTCCATTGGATTTACCATTAGGCCTATAACCCTTCTGCATGGGTTCCTGCAGTGGAATCCTGTTGTGCTGTCTGTGCCTATCAAGGTGGTGACTATAAAACATTCCTAGGAATCACATTCCAGGAGAGGAGAGAAAGAAATTATACAAACTATTCAAGCGCTTCAACAACTAAGAATCCATGACTTGCTTTAACAATCCTATTTGGCCTCTTTGGCCACCCACCTACTCGCCCACACACCTATGTGTGTGTATTTTTCTATATTTTTATATTCATATCTGTTTTTAATCTCTATAAAATACCCTCTGGTTTTTAATATTGAATATCTCATTAAATTTATGTCTGATAAATTATTTTGTAGTCTTTTCTCTTTTCTATTTCTTTAGAGAAGTTTCCAAGTCAGAGATCACCATCCCAACAGCATTATGGTCCTACTGCATAGAATTTATTTTTTCTAAGATGTAGGGCAAGAGCTTCAAAAAATAGCTTACCCAAACAAAAGTGAGACTGCCATCAAAAGACAATAGTTACAGATCCATAACAGGACTTACTTAATTCATATTTTTCTTCAACAAAAATCCCAGAAAAAATACTTCTTATTCACATGTTTGTCTCCACAAACTCACGATTTTCTCCTTTCGGAAGTAGGGTTATACCTAACAAACAGTTCAGAGCTATCAGCTACCACAGGCACTACTTACCTCTGATGTTACTTCCAGACATAAACTATCACACCTGAGGTAAAATTTATCCATCTCAAGAAGTCTCACTGTACATAAGCCAAGCTGAGAATTTCTTGTTATTGTTACAAAATGTAGAATGACTAACAAATTATGATACTATGGTAATGATATCATAACTGATGGTTCTTAAGTAAAATATTAAATCTGAGTAATAGAAGTACTATAGGACTGAATATGGCTGTGTTTTCATTGCTATTTGTTAGTTATGCAATGAGAAGGAAAATTCCTCTACAAAAGTGATGACTAGGACTTTTTCAAGAGCTTCCATTTCATAACAGCTCTTGCCTTCCTTTCCGCCTCGTAAAAACATGCAGTGTGAGCTGTGGAAAAAAACCCATCATGACAACCAGTTAGTTCTCCTAACTGACTGATGCTGTCAGTCCACCATTTTTATTGCTTTGGAAGGTTGGAAAATTTCAAGCAGAAAAAAAATAAATCTAATAATCTATTCAGAGAAGCCATAAGCCACCATTATCTGGCAGAATCACTGAGATGCCTCTATAATGCAAAATCCATAGCAGTAAGGGTGATGCAAGACTGCACTTTCCCTAAGGTACTGCGTATGTGCTATAAACACTCCCATGCATCTTTTGGGGGATATCTCATTATTGCAGGAGATAATGGCCAACATTTCATACCTTTGTCTTTTTTGAAACAATACTGAACCATAAGTTACAGGCTGAAACTACAAAGAAATCATTCACTTGCCAGAGATGGATTATTCCTTGTAGTTTATCCTATGTTCCCTATATTTTTTTTCATAATGGCATTTCTGTTGGACACAAGGAACAACAGGTAATTACATTCTTTACTGTTTTATTTGAAGCTTCTAGGCATTGTGTCAGTAATGATATTCTCTTTATGCAATGTTCTTTTATAGTTTTTTTCAAAAAGAATCTCTTTCTCCAATTTCCATAGGGAGTCCTCATTAAAAGTACAATCTCTACTAAGTGCTGTTAATTTAAACAACCAGAGCAGAATCATAAGAAAGGTTAAAGGGGGAGCAAGGCCTGAGTGCAG